TGATCTTTCTCCAACTCTGTGACCGTAAATCCATGAGCCCTTTGAAGCCACTGGAAATGTTTTACTTGGGAAATTGTGTATATGCATCAGGAGGTTTTGTATGAATAAAAGATAAAATTTAGAAATAGAGAGAATTTGGTTTCTGTAAGAATGATTTAACTTAGACTTTTTAGAAACATTTTGTTTAATGTTTTAATTTGAAAAATTCAAAAATTCTGTTGAACTTCTTTTTTGATATTGCTTGTCAGGAGATGCTTCACAGGCAGACCTGTGAGTAAGATTGATAGGTTTTCATTCTGTTTAGCAGCCAATTATAAGGAAGGACTTCTGCCTGAAAATGCTGTTTCAAAAGCCAAGTCAAGGCTGATTGGCAGGGCCATAGATAAGCTTACGGAATTTGAAAGGTTTCACAGTCATGTGCTGACATAGAAGGAGGAAGCAGATGCTGTTGATTGGCTCAAGTTGTTTAAACCAGGAAAACTTATTTTTGAGGTTAAGTAAACCTCATTTATTTAGAGAGGCTATGATGATACAGGGAGCTCTGGTAGCATAGTGGCTAAAGCACTTGACTGCTAACCAGAAGGCTGGCGGTTCAAACCCACCAGCCACTCCTTGGAAGGAAGGTTGGGCAATCCTACTTCCGTAGTGATACTGCCTCGGAAACCCAAGGAGGGGTCGCTATGAGTCGGGGCCGACTCGACGGCACATAACAACAACAACAACAACATGATGATACAGATATCTTTAAGATGCTGCCTTAGCAATGATTTTTAATGACTACAGCTTTCTTTTTTCATTAACAAGGACCTTTATGTGGAAACAAGACCTTTGTTTCTTAGGGTTCTGCCTCTTTCATTCATTATTTGAATAATACTCTTTATTTTGACAATCACAGTCATCTCCATAGCAATAAATGATGTCAACAATGGAAGGTTTTACTGAAGAAGGGAGTACAGAAAGCAGTGGATCTGATGGAATAGAAGTTCTGATTTTTGTATATACGTTCTTAGAAATCAAGAGCAAAAATTATGTATCTTTAGCACTGTGATTTTTCCAAATGAGATCATAGTACAGGGATAAATTCTACAGTGTTACTTGTATTGAAGGAGCCTGGTAGCATAATGGTTAAGCACTCAGCTGCTGACTGAAAGGCCACTGTTTGAACCTACCAGCTGCTCTGTGGAAGAAAGATGTAGCAGTCTGCTCTCATTAAGATTTCAGCCTAGTAAGCCCTGTGGAGCAGTTCTACTGTGTCCTGTAGAGTTGCTGGGAGTCAGAATCAACTCAGCTGCACACAACAGCAACAATATTGTATATTGAAAAATAAAAGGCACTGTCTTGGTTCTCTAGTGCAGCTGTAACAGAAATACCACAAGTGGGTGACTTTAATAGATTAATTTAGTCTCTCACAGTTCAGGGGGCTAGAAGTCCAAATTCATGGCACTAGCCCTAGGGAAAGGCTCTCTCACTCTTTTCAGCTCTGGGGAAAGTCTCTGCCTCCTTTCAACATCTGTGGGCCCAACATTCCTGGAGATCTCCATGTGGTTTGGCATCAGCTCTCCGTATGTCTTGCCATCAGCTTTCTGCTAGGAAGGGTCTAGGAGGTTCTCAGCACAGGGACCCCAGGTCCAAATGATGTGCTCCATTCCTAGCTCTCTTCTCAATAGTAGTCAGGTCCCTCCCTCCCTGCTTGCTTCTCTCTCCTTTTATCTCTGGTAAGAAAATAGGTGATGGAAGCCACACCCTGGGGAAAGAAATTTCCTATGGGATCAGGGCTGTGACCTGAGCATCAGTGTTACATCCCACCCTAATCCCATTACAGCTGGTTGGTCAATGACATCAGATTACATCGTGGGGATCATTACATAACTGCCAAATTACATTATTACCTAACTGCCAAACAACTGAGAATTGTGGCCCAGCCAAGTTAACATATTTTGAGGGGACCCAATTCAATCCAGATACTAAATTGTTGGTTCCTCTAAGTTCTTTTTAAAAAAAATTTAGAATGATAGGTAGTTAAAAGCATGTCTTCTGGATGCAGTCTGCCTAGATGAACTACTTATTAACTGTATAACCACAGGCACACTCTTAACTTCTCCTGCCTCATCTGTAAAAATGGTTATTCGAGAATAGCCTTTCTCAGGGTTACTATGAAAACTAATATGGATGTGTGTAAAATGTCTAGAACCATAAATTGTAGCATGAATTGTTTCTGTAACATTTCTATTGTTTTTAGAACCTCGGTAAGAGTAAATTAAATGAAACATGTGTAAGCTTAATTTTTAAATTTTGACTTATTACCATCTTGGACCAAAATGTATGGTATTATGTCATTTTGGGTTATATGATTTAAGTTTTTGGTAGATCTAATTTCTAACAACAACTTTTGTGTTGGGTATAATATTCCTTCATAGATATGCTGATACAGTGTTCCTTTGTGGTAAATATGTTTATAAAGAAATATAGCCAGATATATACCAAAAAAGCCCATTATCTCCTAGATAGGATCACCAGTCCAGCAAGGGAAGCTCCAAGTATTGTTTTCCACTTTAATTAGTAATCAAAATCATTTTGGTAATTAATATAAATCACTCAAGACTTTCTCCACTTTGGTTTCTTATCATTTTCTTTAATTCATAAAACGTGACCTATTGTTCTTAACTACACAGGCCTACTGGGTGTTTTGTGGCCTTCAGCGTTGGCTGAGTGTGGCGACCTCCAGAGGAGGAGGTGGGTGGTAGATAGCCACCGTGTGAATGCCTCACATTTTGTTCCCTGCCCAGACCAAGGGGGACAGGCACACATAGGCCAGGGGCTCAAGATTGTTCACAGGGTCTCCTCTTCTTATTGTTGGATGAAAGACGTGTTTAGATGATCAAGCTCTAACTATCAGCAAATGTAAGAACTCTTCCATGTTAAATATTGGGGGTGAGGCCAGAGAACTTTCTTGATTGTCAGATAGCCCTTGGCAGAGACCTGTAGGCTGAGCTGGGCTTTGGGAAATGGGAGATAAGTGGGAGCAAAGGGCCAGGGTTGCCTGGGTGAGAGAACAGAGACAGTCTGAGTGGCAGAGAACTCAATGATAGGGATTGATCAACTCTGTCTAGATAGTCTTGTCTCAAACCCGAAATGCAGTTGCCAAGAATCATTTTACTTGCTTTACAGTGCCCATCTCAAGATCTGTGGTCTGATTGAGACAGATGCTAGCCTGTCTCCCATTTAGACTCACTGGTTCAGCCCAGTCTGTCCATCAGTATATAGCCTTTCCTGGGCAGTGTGTTCACAGAATTTCTCTCTTTTCAGGACCTCAGCAGTGCCCCAGATTCTGTCTATAAACAGATCGACTAAATTCATACCTAACTGAAAACACTGTACAATATACATTCTAGAAAACAAGACTCCTACTCGCAGAATTGTTACTGTATCACTGTTGTAATGGTTCAAGTAAGTTTGGAAGACTTAAAGATTGTTGAACTCGGCAAAGGTCTTTGGAAGAAGAAAGCTCTAGGTTTGGTCGTGGACAAGGGTTAGGAAAGAGAGGCGCTAACGGAGGAGTAGGAGGTGGGGCAGACGCATGCCAGTAGTCAGCTCCAGCTCAGAATCGGTTTCCCCTTTCTGGTTGTCGGCGCATCATTCCAGTTGGTGGGAATGAAGGTATTCCGCAGCTCCTAAAGAAATTACTCAGCTCTTTCATTGATTCGCCACATATAGAAGCTGCAAAACAGGCACCAGCATTTTCTTTGTTGAGGAATCAGCCTGCAAAGGACCTCGAAAGGCTTCTTTGCCATTCTTGTCACTGGAGGTTTATACTGGGTGACCCACTGCCATCATCTTGATTCTAACTCATAGCAACTTCCATAGGGGTTTCCAAGGCTGTAAATCTTTGCAGAATTAGACTGCCTCATCTTTCTCTTGCGGAGTAACTGGTGGGTGCAAATCGCCACCCTTTTGATTAGCAGACGAATGTCGTAACCACTGCGCCATCAGAGCTCCTTCTATATCCAGTGAAGGAGGTCATCTTAAATCTCTTGTTTAGTATATTTTTTTGCTGTCTCTTCTTCAAATTTTGCATTTTGTAATTTAGGTTTAGCTCTTTACACTGTGACCTCAGAAGGAAGGAATCGTTCTCATATTATTATTAATTATCATTAATTAGGAAAAAACATTTTCAACTCTTGTCGCAGAATGCTAACTTTTGTAACAATCAAGCCTCTCCTGCAAATACGTAAGTAAATGGTACGATGAGACACTTCACAGGAAACAGAAATGACTCTTATATAAAAAAGATGTTCACTGTCCTAGTAGGGGAGCTAGACATTAAACTATGCTGGGTACCAGTCTCATCACTGGCCTTAGCAGAAAGTCAGAGTCAGTGAGACTGTGGACATGCACATGGGCTCTCAGCTTTCTCCTGCATGGCTGTCTATCACAGTGCTGGTTCTAAGAATTTATCCTACAGATAAACTTTCATATGTGAGAGGTGATATGCACATTGCATCGTGGTTTGTAGTTGCAGAAGATTAGAAGTCTGTCAGGGTATGTGAAGTAAAGCACGGGGCATCCACTCAGTGGAACATTGCACTGCCCTGAGTTCCTTACAAGCTATGTGGAAAAATACGTTAGGGGGATAAATAAGCAGCAGTGCTGGACACTGTGCATAGAATGTGTAAGAAGGGTTGATCATCAGGCTGCAGGGCCTTGTGATGAGGCTGAAGGCTCATGTCATCATGCTAGTCCCTACCGCCACCACTCCTTGCCTCTGTGTCTCTGTGAAGATTGCACATGTCTAAGAATAGTTCTGGTTTCACATCTTTATATTCTCTACTTGGACAGAAATCTCATGCTGCCCTTTACTATAACCATCCTCATTAGTTTGACGTTTTTACAAAGGTCAACCCAATTCTCAATGTGAGTTTGCCAGTGTATGTCCAGTAGAGATCACTGATTTGAAAACATATAAACTGGAACTGAATTTTATGACTTCTCTTGTATTTCAGGGACAGACGTTTGCTTCAGCCTGCCCAAGTTTGTGACATTTTGAAGGGTGTCATTTTGGTCATCTGCTATTTCATGATGCACTATGTGGACTACTCCATGATGTACCATCTGATTAGAGGGCAGTCCGTCATCAAGCTCTACATCATCTACAACATGCTGGAGGTAGGGGCCTGTGCCAGCCCTTGCGGCGCTTACCCACTCCTGCACAGGCTTGGGTCCTGGGCACGGCTTCAGAGCTTCCAATGCACATGGCGCCTGAAGGTCAGGAATTTTTATTCTGCTTTCTCTCCTAGTGCTGCTTCTGGCCTTTGAGATGTATGCAAACCTTGGGGACCTCAACATGCCATAGGCCTAGGGTGGGGATGGAGACTCTGCATTTCAACAAGGTGGTCCCTGGGAACACTCAGGATAGCAGGTCCATAGGGTGTGATGTTTCCTCAAATATGGAGGAAAGAGACCTGCTACCTAGACATAGTGGGATCAGTACCCCTTGAGAATGTAAATTGTCACAAGATAGTAAAATTTATTTTGTAAAGCCATTGGAAACCTATGCATGCTTTCTGCCAGAACTTTAAAAATTATGAAGAAAGTGTTAAGTATATGTTTACCATAACAGATTTACATTATGAATTGCATTGAAATTTTTACAAATAACAACTAAACATAAATTTCCTAAGTTTCTCTAAGTATTTACCATTTTTAGTATCCTATATCTCATGGAAATCTGCATTTGTACAAAAATTAAGCAGCTATCCATTCACTTTACATAAAAATTTCTTTTTTTTTATAAGACTCTTAATGTTGTTGTTGTTGTTATGTGCCGTCGAGTCGGCCCCGACTCATAGCGACCCCTCCTTGGGTTTCCGAGGCAGTATCACTACGGAAGTAGGATTGCCCAACCTTCCTTCCGAGGAGTGGCTGGTGGGTTTGAACCGCCAGCCGTCTGGTTAGCAGGCAAGTGTCTTAGCCACTATGCTACCAGAGTTCCTTATACATTTTTTGAAATAGTAAGCTACCCTTATAAAAGCAAAACCAAACTCATTATCATCTAGTCACTTCTAACTCTTAGCAACCCTATAAGCTACCTGTACAGGTTATGTAATCAGATTTGAAGTTCCAATTGCATTTTCCTATACTACATTTTAGGGACACAACTAAGGTCTGCCTGTCTTTGAAATTACCCACGAGGGGGTTTTCCTAATGGGCGGACTGGCAGGTGGTGCAGGCTACCTCCCTTCCTGCTCAGAAACTGCCCTAGCATAGATGAGGGCTTTCATCTCTGCACAGCAGCCTTGGGACAAGGCCGTCCTGGCCATTCTGCCACCTGTTGACCTGGCTGATCTCAGCCTACCCCGTGGGGTGGTTCGGGCCTCATTGCATATATGCTTGCCTTGCCCACCACCCAGGAAGATGCAGAGGAGTGGATTTGGGGTGAAGTTTGGGAAGCAGAGTAGCAGGTTCTGCTATCCTTTCCCCTTCGCAGAGAAAAAGCGTAGTCCTCGTCCCCTTTCCTTCTGCTATTCAAAGTGTTCTTCCTGCCGTCTCTCCCCCACCCCTCACCCGCCTGCCACTGCCCAATCTCCTTTTCAGCTTCTTCCTCTTAGGGGATGGCAGGCGACCAGGCTTCCCTTGCCCCAAAATTCACTATGTGCCTCCTGACTTACAGAGCCTTCTACAAGGTAGTCTTATTATTATATCCAAGAATTGCTGATCAAAATGGTTTAAATACTTGCTCCATTGGTGGACTGCAGCTGATAATGTGGTTAAACATGGTGGGCAGGAGTCCAGGCTGCAGTCTAGAGGCAAACTGCCTCAGATCAAATCCTGGCTCCAGCCCTTCTACCTGGTTATCCTGGACATGGTTGCTCTAAGCCTCCACCTGTAAAACGAAGATACTAGGAGATGATGAGACAGTGTACAGAAAGGACTTAGCACAGTGCCAGGCATGTAGTAGCTATTATTCAGTCATTCAGCAGATACTTAATTGGCATTTTCTACAGGCCATTACTGTCTTAGACCCTAAAGATACAGAAATGAACAAAGCAGATAAAGCTCCTGTTTCCATGGAAGTTACTAATCTAGAGGTGCGAGAGGCCACACACAGGAAGATGTTAGGAAATGTTGGACCCTGTGCTGAAAAAGAACTGGGTGATTCAGTGGAGTCCATGGGCGCAGAGAGATTGGGTGTCTGGGAGCCTCTCTCAGGATAGGGCGTCCCGGATGACTCCTCACTGACAGGCCCTCCTTCTTTTCTTTGTTATGTCCCCCTTTTTATTTGTTGTACTATCTTCATGGATAGTAGTTTGGTGGCATAGTGCCTAAGGCACTTGACTGCTAACCAGAAGGCTGGAGGTTCAAACCCACCAGCCACTCCTTGGAAAGAAGGTTGGGCAATCTACTTCTGTAGTGATACTACCTCAGAAACCCAAGGAGGGGTCGCTATGAGTTGCCTGACTTGATGTCAGTGTGTTGTGTGTGATCTTCATGGAAATTGACTCAGACAAACAAATTGTGACCACCATTATTTCCAAATATTAGATGTGACTACCGTGAGTCAAATCACATATTTGCCCTAAAGTATTGAAGTTTGAATCTTGTGTTTGAAGTTAAAAGAGTTAAGATGAAAGGAACAATGATTGTTGATGTACCTTCCCTTTTTTTCTTTGCCACTATGTATGACTTTCCTTGTCATAAACATAGATAGCTGGGTGAAGTCTAATTCAAATGCTGTAAGTAAAATGAGCGCTCACCATGGGTCAGAGCTTCAGGAAACCTCAGTGAACAAAGATCCCTCCTCTTTGGCAGCTTACCTTCCAGTGTTTCCAGTATTTGAGGTGGATCTGAATTTTAGTAACATTTAACTGGAATATTAACCACCTTTCCAAAACTTTTCTTTTTAGGTAGCTGATCGTCTGTTTTCGTCATTTGGGCAAGATATATTGGATGCTCTCTACTGGACAGCAACGGAGCCTAAAGAAAGAAAAAGAGCCCACATCGGGGTGATTCCTCACTTTTTCATGGCCGTTCTCTATGTCTGTATCCTTTTAGACGTTCTGGCAGTCAGTGCATACTCTACATCATTTTATTTGGTTAGGCATCTCGCAGAGATAAATATACATCCATAGATACATGTGTATAAGACACCCAGGTAGCAAAACATTTAAGCATGCAGCAGCTAACAGAAAAGTTGATGATTCGAACCCACCTGGTGGCTCCTCTGGGGAAAAAACATGGAGATCTGCTCCCGTAAAGACTACAGCCTAGAAAACGCAATGGGGCAGTTTACTCTTTCACGTGGAATCACTATAAGTCGAAATCAACTCCATGGCACCTGCAACACTGTAAGTTTGTATATGTGTGTGTGTGTGTGTGTGCATCTTAATCTGACAACACTGAAATCTCTGTTTTCTTTGAGAAGGTGGTAGTAATAGTAACTGTAGAGTAAGTTAAAGACCTCATGTTTGACTGTTTGAAATACTGGAACACAGTTCTAGGCTCCGTATAGCTGATTGTATGGAAGGATTGAAAAATGAAAGGATAGCGCACATTTAGTCATACTTTACATTTATATAGACTCATACAACTTTGTTGTGTTTATATTGGAATTTTTCTTGAATTTATCTTTAAACCAACCACTTCTTTATTATAGCCCTGGGCTTAAAATGTATGGAAGACACCTAGAAGTACATTGGAAGTCAGATTTAAAATTGGTTGCAGAGGAATTGTGGAGACTTTTTCCTGTGGTTTAAGGATTTTCTTTTGGAGACTGCATGCATTACTGTATCAACAGTATGTGCATATGTGCGTGTGTGTATATCCGTACATGTATGTGCACATTACCCATACACACCTCCTTCAGTTTTATGTGGGGTCAGGGCTCATTCACAGGAATGTGTCAGGATTTTTTTTCCCTTAATATTTCGGGGCCGACTCGATGGCAAACAACAACAACAACAACAATATTTCTAAAAGAATGACACTTGAGAGAAATTCTGTTAATACTTAGGAAGTTAACGGACTAGAAGGATTTATATGAGAGTAAACACTTGTTACAGAGATAATGGAGAAGAAAGTTGCCATTCTGATACATAGTCTACGTTCCAAATGTAACGTGAAGGTAGTTCTGCAACTCACAGGATGATGGATGAGGAAGCATGTTAATTATCAGGCATTTCTTATTGTCTGACAGTCCACATCCCCTGAAAAACCAGGTGGAGGTTGCTTCTTTGTTGATCACATTCAACAAACTTTTATTCTGGGTTCTTTTCCTTCTCAGAAGGCAAATTACATGAATTCAGAAACTGTATTTCTAAGTCTCTTCTTTAAGCATTTACCATAATTTACTTCATAAACTTTTTGGGGGGCCAATAACTTATTCATTGCAAATACCTTTTTTCAGTAACACAAACAGCAGCTATACACGTGGATTTCACCAGATGGAGTACACAGGAATCAGATTGCCTACATCTGTGGCAAGAGATGATGGAGAAGCTCAATGTCTTCAGCCAAAACAAGGCCAGGAGCTGATTGTGGAACAGACCATCAGTTGCTCATTTGTAAGTTCAAGTTGAAGTTGAAGACAATTAAAGCAAGTCCACAAGAGCCAAAATATGACCTTGATTATATCCCTCCTGAATTTAGAGACCATCTAAAGAATAGTTTTGATGCATTTGATGAACAGCAATGATCGAAAACCAGAGAAATTGTGGGATGACATCAAGAACATCATCCATGAAGAAAGCAAAAGGTCATTAAAAAGACAGGAAAGGAAGAAAAGACTAAAATGGATGTCAGAAGAGACTCTGAAGCTTGCCCTTGAACAGAGAGTAGCTAAAGCAAATGGAAGAAATGACAAGATAAAAGAGCTGAACAGAAGATT